TTGAGTCTAGTTCTTTCTTTATGCTGAGCTCCTCTTGTATTCCTCTCAATGCATATGGTACTTCAGTAAGGTAGTTTCCTTCTATGAAGTGTGGTAGGGAAGGCAGATTGTAGGTGTTAGAAATATTTCTATTTCAAGTTTTCTAATCCCTCATCTGGTGATGGCTTAAGGAGACAGCTGTACTTTCATTTGGGTTTCATAGCAGTGTTTAGTGCTGTTCCTGGTGCTGGAGACCTTTAGCTTACTTTCTTTTTTAAAATTCATTTACATTTATTTAAATTGGAAGGCATAATACAAATTTGACTCAATATAAATTTTAATTGGCAACAACACATATATTTTAATGTTACTATGTGTATTTCTCTTTTTATTCCTTATTTTTTAAATTCTTTTCTGGTGGCAAATAGGGATTTACAACCACAGTAGCTATCTGGTGTGGCTCTACTCCTGGTCTTTGCTTCTGGCACTTCTTGAAGACCAAACTCTCCTGTCATTTCACACATTTATCTGTTTTATTTAAATTATACTATTTATCTACTTAATGTGTCTGATGGTGGCAGTGGTAGAAGAGCAGCGCTGTTGGATATTTATGGAGCTCAGTATATGTATGAAGATCATAGAACAATTTTCATGAGTCACCTTTCTCTGTTTACCATAAAGGTCTATGAAATAAAACTCAGGCTTGTCACAGGCATCTCTCCTATTCTGGTATAATTTTATGAAAGAGGGCAAGAAATAACCCTCTGAAGGCCCCTTGAGGGTAATGAATAATTTGTAGTAACTCTGACAGGAGACTTTTAAGTAAGAAGACCCAATCTATACCACTAAAGCATTGCCACTGTGTCTTCATGGACTGTGTTTCTAGTTGGCAGGAATCCCTGGTAGTCTAGCAGTAACTAATATTTGTTTTCTTATTTTTCTACTGTATGTTCAGGTTATCAAGCTGAATCCAAAGCCAATGATTACAAATATGTATATAAAAAAGCTTTTCAGATGTTATGAGCAGAGTTAGTGAAATGCTTGTTTTTATGCATATAAAAGTTTACCTGGAATTCATTTTTTTAATATTTTTATTTTATTTAAAATAGATTCTTGGGGGAGGAGAGAAAATAGATTCTTTTCTCATGCTACATATCTTGTTTAGAGTTTCCCCCCTCTTTATTCCACTCCATTCTTCTCCACCTCCACTTCTTTCCATATCCACTCCCTTTCTGTCTCTCAGTAGAAAAGAACAGGCTTCTAAGAATAACAGCAATACTTGACAAAATAAAATATAATAAGATAAAACAAAAGCCATCACATCATTGTTGGACCAGGCAACCAAACAGAAGAATAACAACACCAAGAGCAAGAAAAAGATTCAGAGATCCACTCATTAAGAGTCCTATAAAAACTACTGAGCTGAAAGCTATAACACATACACAGAGGACCTGTTGCAGACCCATGTCAGATCAGACTTTGATGCTTCAGTCTCTGAGAATATGAGACTTGTTTAGCTGATTATGAAGGTCTCATGTCCTCCATCCTCTCTGTCTGTTACATTCTTTACTCATCTTCTGTGGAGTTCTCTGAGCTCGGAGAGGATGAAACTTCATGGAGACTTCCTATTTAAAGCTGTGTGCTTCAAGTATTCTTTCTCTTTTTTTTTTTCTTTTTTTTTTTATTGGATGATTTATTTACATTTCCTATGTTGTCCCCTTACCCCATCCCCCACCACCCCCTCAGAACCCCCAATCCCCTCGCCCCTCCTCCTTCTTCTCTGTGGATGTAACCTCTATCTACACCCCCCCACTCCCACCTCCCCACCCTCAAAATTCCCACCCCCTGGGGAATCCAGCCTTCATGAGGTCAAGGTTCTCTTCTTCCACCTATGCCCAGCAGGGCCCTCCACTTTTACATATTCAGCTGAAGCCCTGGATCCCCCCCTAAGTGCTCCCAGGCTGGTGGTTTAGACCCTGGGAGCTGTGGTTGGTTGGTATTGTTGCTCTCCTCATGG